TGAGGTTTCAATGGAATTCTTTCCCAGCCTAAAATATAGGATGCATTCTTATTTCATCCCTACAAACAGGATTTGTTTCAATTTAAATCAGCTGCTTCCTTTCCCAGCCATTACATCTCTACGTCTGTTGAGTTCTGGGTTTAGATACATGTTTCAGAAGCTATTAAATAAAGCTATAATATAGTCAAATTACAAAATTATAATGGAAATCTTTTGGCGACTGCTTAAACAGCCCTTTTAGAAATTATGGACAATCCTACACGTGTTTAAGTGAGTAATACAATAAAGTGTTCCGTGAATGCTCTGGCCTCTCTCTGCATGAGGTATAAACTAGGCTCGGTCACGCACAGTAGATAGTTTGTATCAAAACAAGCAAACAAACATTGTTCTCTTTATGCTATGAAAGTTCCAGCAAATGCCATTCTTTACCATATTCAATGATGTATTGGCGTAGGTTCTCACTTCAACTGAGGTAGAACAGCTGAAGGCAGCATGTAACAGGATCAGACACGTCAGGTCTGTACTGCTCATCACTACATCTCAAAAAGCTCAAGCAATCTGTAGGACAACTTAACGGCACCAATTATTATTCTGTCAAAATATAAGATATCTGTACCCAAAAGGTTTTAGTGATAAATGTTTTTATTTTCTTTCCGTCGATAGGTTGTATCAAAACAAGCAAACAAACATTGTTCTCGTTATGCTTTGAAAGTTCCAGCAAATGCCATTCTTTACCATATTCAATGATGTATTGGCGTAGGTTCTCACGTCTGCGAGAATGCGAGAAATTCATTTTGCTCCTATGTGCGGCACCATTGGCGGTTGGGCCTTCAGCCTCTCTGCTCCCACCCTTAGGAACTCCATCCCACAGTCCCTTCGCCTTTCTCCCTCCCTTACCTCCTTCAAGCCCAACTCAAAACCCTCCTCTTCGACCATGCCTTCGGTCACCCTCCTACCCCTAATGTTCCTGCCGTCCACCTCTCCTGATCCCAACCCCCTGCTCGGATTAAAATCCCTGACTGTCCAGCGCCTTGGAACGTCCTCCCGATGTGAAAAGCTCCACCCAAACAAAATTTGTTGTTGTTGCTGTTGATGAGATGCACTTAAAATGATTGGTGCATTCTCAAAGTTATTGTTTTTAGCATCAAGAGGAATTTGATCTCTCTTGTATCCCAAGACATGTACCAACTTCAGACAGTAGTAAAGGTGTGATCTCCTCCCAGGATTCCAGTGTGCCCCTCTGAATCAAGCATCAGATGTGTCCCGTGAACAGTCTGGAGATGATTTTATCCTCTGGTGGTTAACTTCTCTTCTGCCATTACAGAAAGTCTCTCTCCACATCAGCATTCTTGGGGAAAATGAAGCTGGATCCTAGTCCTGCTTTGGTGGGGAGGAATAATCCTAATAGGTGTTGCGCCTTATTTAAAAAATGCAATTTCTGACTGGAATGTATTGTGCAATTCTTACTCCTGAAAGAATAGTTGAGAGAGCACAGTTTTTTTCCCGAATGGTCTTGTGTTTTAGTAATACAAACACGTGGTTAATTGATGCAACGTGTCAACACAAATTCATCCCACCAGTCATGCCCTCAGTCACATTTATGGTTCATTCCAGCATCAGAAATACTGTATTGTACAGACCATCGAGCTCTTTGCAGCAAATTTCATCAGCATAAAAGCTACATGTTAGATCTGATACCTGTAATGATGAATGGAAATCTGCTTTATCTCAATCACAAGATTAACAATGAGGATCTGTTAACAAATCACTGAATTGACACTTAAATTATCTTAATACATTTGGTTAAAATGTTAAAATGGAAAACAGTCCTGATGTGAAGCAACATGGCAGAAATGATATTTACTCTTAGAATTAAGATTATTTCTTTCAAACATATTTCAAATTTGTTTATTTTATCACCCTGGTACTTTCAGTGTTTGTTGTAGCATAGTTGGTGAGTAATCTCTAATTTGATTCAGTGGAAACCCTAAATATTCCCGCATAGGGAAAACAGGAAAAGCAGAAGCTGCAGTGGGAAAATCAGCTCAGAAAGATCTTACCTGAGGTTGGAGGCAATACATGTATTATTCATGAGTCGTGCTTAATTAAAATTCCGACCAGTACTCCAAGTAAATGAAAATATTTTTAAAGGGAGTGTGCTTCCGAGTGCTGGAATTACACCAGATGAGAGGCGATTCTCTTCTATTGCTCAGCTCAATCGGTTTTGGGGGAGGCCGGTGAGTTCTCCAATGGACTACTTCCCACATTTATATTCCAATTGTAAACCAGCACACTATGTAATTAGAGCTGGCTTTTGTATAAAACTCTGAATCAGTGTAGCTCAATCTCAGGGTCTGAAGAAAACGAACACAAGGGTTCAAACAAAATGCTAATACGTTCTCAACCAGGACCACTCCATGATTATTTTTCAATAGTGGCAGATCAGCCACTTGGAAAGAAAATGCAAATAAAATCCACGAAGATCAAGATAAACACTCAATCAGTTTTGATTTCACATCATGTTCAGCTAAATAAAGACTAGTAACAAGTGCACAAAGTTTACAGGATATTTTTGGTCAGTGCATTAACCACACCTTGTATATCATATAACTTTAATTCGCCACAGAAACAAAGAAGTGTTTTATGAACTTTGTATTTTTTACAGAAACAAAGAAGTGTTTTATGAACTTTGTTTGTTTTACAACACTGTTGCCATAGTATTCAACTCTGCATTCCTGTATTTGACCACTACCTTTTTCATGAGTTGAATGCTGAGAAATTTGGGGAAAAAAGTGGAACAAAGTAGAGGCCATAAAAAGTCCATTGTTTGAGACCCAAAGTTGCAAATCCAATGCACTACCAGTCTCAAAACACCAGTGAACTTTTCATATATAAAAAGTCCTAACTGGAAACGATAATAAAGTAATGAGGCATACTTTATTGTGATTGTTCTTCAGTTGTAGGGCAAACATGTGTTTATGTGGTGACAGGACATTCAATATGTGAACACCATATGTGATAACTCATGTTCATTTCCGTGGCTTCTGGTGGTGACGCTTAGTCACTGGTTGATTTATTTAAGCGTTTCAAGATGCTACACTGCGTGAAGGGGGCTACATAATTGCAAGGTTTTCTTGTTACCACTACTACTGCCCATTGGACAGTGCTAATGCTTTGTCTATTCATACACATGAATTGCTTAAGAGAATAATGTTGAACACGCACAGTAACTGGTCTACAGATTGTCAATGTGTTAAGGCTGACACTGGGAATCTGATGATGGGGAAGGAAGGGGCAAGGTGGAGGGATAAAGGAAGAGTGTTCCAGAGTTTCAGGGAGTTGGTGGAACGGAGGGCATGAGGGACACGCAGGAGGCCGGAACCAGACGATCAGAGGCAGAGAATAGTGGGTTGGGCAGTAACCAGGTTGGAGAGGTAGGGAGGTGCCAGGGCATGAATATATTCAAACACAAGTGAGTTTCCCCATTTTGAAATCAATCCGTTCGGCAATAGGGAGCCAGTGGAGCATTGCTAAGACTGGTGTGATCGGGTTATGGGGTTTAGTACAAGTGAGTATGTGGGCGGCAGAGTTTTGGATAAGCTAGATTTTTTGCATGGTGGAGCTGGGTAGACCGACGAGATCGGAGGGTATTTGATTAGTCGAGGTGGGAAGTGACAAACGCACGGTGGGTTTCAGCTATGGCCGGGGTAAGAATTTCTCTTGATTCAGCCTCAACGGGCACTGTATTGATGCTAACATGAGGAGAAAACACATCCCGAGGTTTGGTGTGCAGGTGGTGTTCATAGAACACAAATACTTTCAGATACTTTCCATGACAGCAGGACAAGAGGTTATGGGACCCGGACATTCAAGGGCAATTTTTAGAACATACACCCGGTAATATTTCTTTGAACCAGTTTTAATGAATTACCAGGAACGATGGTGAAGCCAGGACAAGACACTCATTAAAATAACACTGTAATGCTATGATGTTAGGGTTGGTATTCTAGAATGAGATCTAGAATGAGATAAAATAGGCATGAGATATTGTGATCTTATTTTCAGGTATTTTTAAACAAATACAACTTAGTGCAAAAACCATCTTGTTTAGTACTGCATCAGTGGGACCATTCCATACTACCCAGGTATTCATAATCTTTTGACTAGACCCAACCAATTTCGCCAAATAGTTCTCTGTATGGTGTATAAATGTTACTGTGTTTACATTAAATATAAGTACTTATATCCGCCATTTGACCACAAAACATTCCACTTACAGAATATCTTGTGAGGTGCTTTTAGATGTCCTCCCAATATGAAGTGTTATACCAAATGTAAGGATTATTATGAAATGTTTTGTGTTTAACATCACACTGGCAATCCGCACAAGATATTCTAAAGCCGAGAATTTTCTGTGCCTGCTTTTCGTTTTGCAAAAGTACTCAGGACGAAAATATAAGTTACAGATAGCCTCGGTTAGAGTCTTAACTCTAAAACTCTTGGAGTCCTGTAGCTCAGTGGTTAGAGCACTCGCTTTGCAAGTGAGAGACCTGAGTTCAATTCCAGGCAGGGAGCGAAACCTTGGGCAAGTTTCCTTACTCCACACACCTAATAATAATCCCTCCAAAACCAAAAACAATAATAAATTGGTCATTTTCAATCTACGACTGTTTGTGGGACAATGCTGTGCGCAATTGGCTTCCACGTTCGCCCACAAATATACAGTCAATTCACTTTACAGTGTGTTCTGTAGGACGTCCTCCCGACGTGAAAAGCGCTATATCAAATGCAAGGATTATTATTAACTATCTGAAGGCTATTTTTGTCACAAAAATTAAAATAAAATATGTAAACATAAGAAGTCATAAAGCAGATTGATATCACATTCCATGGATGTTCCAAGTTAAATCTGCTTACACAAGGCTTACTTCTGCATTCTAAACCGGATGTTGCTCTATCTATTTCAAATATTTTTCAGCAACCAAACCACACATTTGAAAATAGTTATATACAAAAGCTTTAATTTATCATCGACACAAACTTTAAAAAGATTGAACAAGGCAAAGCCGTCTATAGATTTTTCTCCATTTTCAAATGGTAATGTACTGTTATAAGTTATTATTGATATTCCTTTACTATTTGTGAGTCAATGACAAGTAAAAAGATGTATTGTACAAAAACACATCATTTTGAGATTGTGTGGAGTAACAAACAAACATTTGGAGCAATTTTTCAAGAGTTAATATTTCTAATATTTTATATCTTGCTGGTTTATTCCAACAATTCCCATCTTTCCATTAGATTTATTCTTTTACTCTGTACTTCCAGCTAAATATAGATTTCATGTTGCAAACTATATACCAATGTTGAAAACAGTAGAGTTGAGCACACCCAAGCTATTTAAAACACAGATACTATATTCTGAAACTATTTATATAGAAATCCAAGACTGCCAGTTTTTCCGAACCTCAGACATAACTACACAAATCTACATTCCATATTTGCTTGCAAGCGTAGCTGCAACGGGTCGGTATAGCTAGTAAAAAAAAATTCTCTTAATCTCGCAACTTTGCAGCCTACAGAGTGAAGACCCAATTGAAATCAATCTTCCGAATTTTCTTCAGTTCTTTCTCCTCTGATTTGGACAATTTAGGGAGCAGTTCATCCGAAGAGGATGCTGTCCTTGTTTCTGCTTGAGTTTCGTTGGGATGTATCTCGATGTCAGAATCATCTTCCTCTTCCTTGCTCTCCATTTCCACGTCTTCCTTCTCTTCCTCTGAGCTGATATTAAAGAATTTAGGAACATATAAGCATCTTATAATAATTCTTACATTTGATTATGGCACCCTAGATGTCAGAACGTCTCAAAGCTTACACAGGATATGCTATAAAATGTAATGATTTAACTTTTACAAGTGACTATGTTTATTTTCTATTAAATCTTTTGTCCGTACATTTCCTAGTAGCTTCCCTTTACCTCCTATAATTTTATTTATTGTACTTTGGTTTCATCTTATTAATACAAAGCTATCCTCTCATTTTATGTTAAAATTTTATTTTCTCTTAATATACTTTTTCTTATTCACCCATTTTTTACAGACCTCCCTCTGATTATTTTTTTGCTACAATTCAGTTCTCTCTCTCTCTTGTTCCCTTCTCTCACTAATCATCTGACTTCAACCCACCGATCAATCTCTCTATGTGATTTTTTAAGAAACCTAAGGATCCAAGTCAGCTCAACAGTGAAGACTCGTAGTCACTAATTTATTTTATATCTAGTTGAATCAATATTAATTTTATACAACAATGGTCCTTAAGGGCTGTCCTGAACCCTGGATATAGCTCCAAGATGCATCATTTGAATTGAGAGCAATTTGTTCATTTTGACATTTGGACAAATAGTTTAATAAAATGAATCAAAGCCAAATGACACCTCTATCTTACCTTTTTCCTGCCTTGGATATCAGCAACGAATTCATAAACATCGAACAAAGGTAAGTAGCATTTGGTAGAACGTGAGCTGGAGTGTGAAGCATCTAGAGAAGAAAATAATGCATTTATAAAGTTTTCTAACAACCTGTAAAATAGTTAAGCCACTCAGTCCCCACCAAGTTTTTTCTTCACAAGGCTAACTCACCTCTTTTATTGTGACAGATCCTTCGGGCAAAGCAATTTTCTCTGCTTCTGATCCAATTCCTTGCGACTGCCTTTGTTTTCCCACAATCATGTGGAACGGAGTCATAGGAATATATTCGTCTATCACCAGCTGGAAGTTGAATATTGTAAATAACGATATTTTAAAAGGGAGATAAACATGAGCTTCCTATTTCTGAGATGTCAAACTTAACATTAGAAAATAAACATAACCGAGTACAACTTAAATATCTGTAAATTGTTTGTCCCTGAACTCAAGAACTATTACCAATGCTGCAAAATCATTTTAGTTGGTTCTGTGGGTTAATGATTTAACCCCCTGCAAAATCCTGCAGTTTAGGAGTCCTGTAGCTCAGTGGTTAGAACACTTGCCTTGCAAACGAGGGACCTGGGTTGATTCCCAGCAGGGTGAAACCTTGGGCAAGTTTCCTAACTTCTCATGCCTGATAATAATCGCTCAAGAAAAAAAACACAATAATTTGGTGACTCAAACCACGACTGTTTGTGGGACACTGCTGTGTGCAATTGGCTTCTGTGTTTCGCCCATAAAATATACAGTCAATTCACTTTACAGTATATTCTGTGAAGCGCTTTGAGATCTCTAGAAGACGTGAAAAGTGCTATATCAAATACAAGGATTATTATTATTTATTATAAAATCACAATAATGTCTACAAAGACTCTAAATCAAACCAGTTCCAGCATTTCTATCAAGTTACATCAAGAAAGCCGGTATTATACTTCTAGTATTTGTTACTTTAGAGCAAGATAAGGCTGAAATTCACTTCCTTGGGATGTCCTCGCGATGTGCTATACAAATGTCATTTGTTGTTGTTATTGTGGTGATTTAGAGGAGTGGTTCACAGACCATTTTAGCTTGGTCATTTTAGTTTTGAATGTAATAATTTGAACCATCACTCTCCAGTATTCAATTATTTCAAAATACTTTTTATTTATCTGGCAAAATAAAAAAGAAAAACGCCTCCTCTCAAATATGGACAAGAATATAAATACCTGCTTGCTGGATGATGTCAATTTTTCTTCTGGTAATTTTGTACTAAACGTCATGAGGTCCTTTTAAAAAAAGAAAAATAAGCATCAGACAACCAAAAGTGGTTCATACTGACTAGTATTTTTATCGTGGCAAATTCTAACAATGAAATGTGTTTTACCTGTGATTTTGTGATGAAATAGAGCTGAGATTTGCAAAGCCATTGCTTGCTCTCAGTGTTGTACTCCTCAGGCAAGTCTCTGGGAACAAAGAGAGCCCACTGGACCTTGCTATAACACACATTCTTCTGCATGTACAATGGTCTTGGCTCATTTGGCTTGAAAATAAACACTAGCACAAAAACAGATTCAAGGAATTAACAAGGAAATAGGAACTTCAAACCTTAATATTGAAGGAGTAAGGCAACTATAAGGTTGTTACTAAAATACATGCTAAACAAGCTATATAAGATTATAACATCTCACTAATCCCATCAATGGAAAAATGAGTCTTACACCAACATAAACAAAGGGCATTTTTGTGCAAAAGCAATTTTAACTAGACAGATTTAGTGGTAAACTAATTCAGTTTGAATTAAAATGCATTTCATGGAATTTGTTGATTTCAGTAGAAGTGTTACTCAATGCAGTAACCATCCCACTGGCATACACAAGAGTGTGGACAGAAAAGGACTGTTTGCGTATGATGTCCTCATAGTCAAATACTCGGCCGGTACTTGACATGCTATTTGGGCGAGGTACCAGGGGGTAGATAGACCCATGTCCCAGCAAGAGGCAATACCTCCAGAGGTGGAGAGAAAACAAAGCATGGGGAGGGGAGGCGGGGGTGGGAGGGAGAGGAAATGAGAATAACATAGAACAAAAGCCCGATCAAGTACATTTCCATGTTTTAGTTTGTTGTATATGGAAGAAAAGATAAAACATTTGCACACATATGAAATTCGCAAATGCAGATACACTGCTGCTGAATGGAACCGTCACACTTACAATCAACATTGTTAGAGAGTCCAGAAAAGGCAGCAACATTCTCAGAGAGTGGATCCACTTGCAACACCATTATATTCAGCTGTGCACTCCATTCCACTGCAGAAAACACAAGCCATTGAACGCTGAACATATGAAATCAAAACATAAGCGTGAAGTCAACTTTTGAAATCCATGTAATATTCTGATTGCAGGAGATGTTTGCACTTACGCATACAACTTAAAAGGTTCCAGCAGCAGAGAAACCCATTGTCTGTTGTAGCGAGGAGGTACTTGGCACAGCTTAGTCTTCCAAAGGCAAGGTCTCTGAAAGATTACAATGAGCTGCGTTAATTTCAGAGGAATGCTCACACTTGATCGATTATGCTCAGCTAACTAACCAATCATCTGTCTCATTTTTCAGTTGAAGAATGTGGTATCAGAAAGCACAATTATCAGTGGAAATTCCCACCCATCACAGGTCATCTAAACATTCGAGAACAAACACATTTACATCGAAACAGTCTGCTTTCAAAAGTAAAACATGAATTCTGGAGAGTATAAAACAAACTTTTTTTTCCTTGCTCTTATACATCAAACATATTTCTGAATTCTTTTCATTAAAACAAAATATATCTATTCAGCAGAAACTGTTGGGATGCTTGTAAAATTGGTCGTGTTCTGTACCTCAGGTCTGCACAGATACATGAAGTGGTTGGGAACTAACACAATGGGAAATTTGACCTGGATTCTATAAAGAGCAGAATACTAAAAATAAAAGAAACATGCTTAGAAACATCCAAAAGATTAGCAACAAAAATAGTCTTGGCCTATTACTCCCTGTTGAAGGACTCACCGTATTTTACTAGGGGGATGGCAAAAGGTGCACTTGAGATCCCAAGTTTCAGGGTCCCACAGAGTAATAATTTGTTCAAAGCAGACAGCAAGCAGTGAACCATCCTCAGAGAAACTGCACTTTGTGGCCTGGAGGTGGTGGTAGGTGCCAACAAAATCACAGCTCCAGCATACACTCTGTCCTGGACAATGAGGACAGACACATAACATATGTTAAGAGATAAAGTGCCATAATCTTACAAGATTTGCCACTACTCAGGATAGCAAATTGGTTGTCTTACTCAATAAGACAGGCATTCAAGTAGCAATTATGGAAAGCAAAATGCACCCCTTTCTTCCATGATACAGTACACCATCAACACTAAACAAATATCTATGCAACACCATCTCCTATTGGTGAAATTCTTGTACTGCACCCGATCCCAGAGCAGGAAATAGGTCTTTAACAAGTCAAAATAATCAGAGGTACAAATGTGATTACTCAGACTTGTCTGCAAGCCTTGTGCATTAATGGCTGCATACTTACTGTATATATCAGAATTGTCCACTAAAACCCAGACTTTAAACCTGTTGTCCAATCCAGCTGTCACCAATGTTGGTGGCCCATTTCTGCAAATAGACGAACTCTGGAAGCAGAGAGCTGCAATATGGTCGTCATGTGGTGTAGTTATTGTGGTATTGAGAACAAAGCTGTCAAAAACAAACATTCTAATAACTAAACATGGCAAAGCTAAGAAACACAATTGATCTGACACAGATGACTTTACTGCAAGGCGACTATGTGAGACATTATGGGATATATGGGATATTAAGTTATTTTCACATTTGCAGATTGATCTTTCACTTGGGAAAACTATATTTAAAATGATACAAGAGTAAAAAGATCAGCTACAGCTATGCTCCTGTGAAGAGCAGATTGTCTTATTCAAAGCAACTACGAAATAGGTCTGCTTATTAAAGATATCACAGTCAATGGTGCCATATCCTCAGATTTTTCGATAGAAACATTAATAAATTCAGTGATAATAGTGGCAATTCTATTGTAATTAAAAGATTTGTTGATCAATAAAGCAAAGCTTAAACGATTATTAGCATCTTCTACCAGGTAAGATTTCAGTTAGGATCTAATAGCGATGTGAAGCCAACTGATTCCCACAGCTTTAGCAAATATAGACATAACATTTAAAAATTTGACACCAACCGTAAAACATTCAATAGTTAGAAACATTTAAAAGCCATCATTGGAAATTCATTGTCATAGTCTCCAAAATACTTCTTTTGAAACAAAATTATATTTTGGCTTTTGATAGGGAAAATCTCACCTTTGTTTCTCCTCGTCATAGACCCAAAACTTCATTTGCAGCTCAAGTTCGGTTGCTTTGTCCTTCCTTTCTTCTACAGTAACTAACCATTTACCCTCAAAATCAAAGGCTGCCTTGACCAGCTCAGCCTGGTTCAGACCTGACTGATGAATGTACTCCTGTTGCACTATGTCTAGCTGTGAATGAATGCACAACGACAAATAAATTTCACTTTCCGCATCCGTTTCCCGTATCTCACTCATTTGATAAACGTTGGGATAGATTGAAGTTTAATATTGTGGATACTCTGAACGTATCCCAGTCAGAAAGATCTGAGTATTATATACACACTGCGTTCAATACCTTAAAATAAAGTACTCATGAACTACAGCAGAAAACAGGGACTGTAAAGCTCTCCAAGGTTGCAGCTGCAAGGTCCTACTTATGATTATTAAATACAGAACATAGTTTGTTTCAAACAACCTAGACTTGCACAAAAGAAAACAAAGCCATGTCTGATAATGCCATCATTTCACTTACATTATATAACTGCTGATCGTTCTGAAGTGAATAAAACTGCAACTGTCCTGGTTTTCCATTCAGAACCAGAGCTTTGCTTCGTGGGTCAATCATTAAACCAGTCTTAACGTTTTGTCCTTAAAAAGAAGAAAATAGGAATTGGGTAAACCAGCAACCAATATTTTTTACAACACAGTTAGTCCAAGCAAATCAGATACGTACCTTTGACTAAACCCTGAATTATAGCAGAAACGTTCATGCTGCTTTGGATAGTCATGATTTCTGAAAAACATCAGAATAAAACACATAAGTTAACGAGTGATCAAAAGTCTAGAGTGTTTGTTGGTCAATTTACATTGTATGAAGTGTGAAGATATTGTTTGTTCGAGTACAAAATATAGTCTTACTGTTATCACTGTGAGATGTAGAACACAAGAGACCATCAGGTGAAACTGCGATATGTTCAATGGCTGACCCAAGACGAGGTAGGAAGTCCTTCTTTGTTTCAACTCCATAAAGCCACTGAACCAGCACAGACTCCATCCCACCAGTTAACAGGTACGTACCTGGAAATAAAAAAAGGAAAACTGAAAGTCAGCTACAATTACTTTGCGGCTTTCTACAAACAGCTGTAAATACTGTCAAACCGTAAAGCAACAAACAGTTCCATATTCTGCTGTACGTCACAAAATGATAAAACAGATATTAGAGATTCTCTGATTTTCCCTCCCACTTTCTCCTCCTCTTAGCAAACAACTGCATACTTTCTTCAGTCAAGACTTCAGAACAATTTAATTCCTGAATATCTTTACCAATCCTAGTCTTTAGGTCAACTCCACCAAGGCAAGCTACATCAGCAGAAGAGAAAACATTGTTTAAACCTAAAACAAAGTACTATCTATAATTTCCAGTCCACTTAGATTGTTTGAACTCAAAACTCTTCAAAAGCTCGAGGGAAAGTGGATGATTGGCCCAACTGTAAAACCCAAGATTAAACTTTTTCCTTCTACCTTCTGCTGAGAAGATCAGGTCATTGACTGCATCGTGATGCCAATGGTGAGCAGAGTAGGTGTACTCCCTTTCGTGATCAAAATTCCGCCTGCAAAGAAACGAAAAAATAAAAATTGATCCCTCACTCCATCCGTATTTTGCTCGCAACATACACAGTCAATCCACTTCACGCTATATCCTGTGAAGCGCTTTGAGACATCTCACCGACATGATAAGGCGCTAATCAAATGCAAGGATCATTATTTTTTATTAATAAACACAAGTATGTTTATTACTCTTTAATAAGACACCAATGAATACTTTAGTAATGCCGGCTAGTAACACAAAAAAACTCAATGTTTCCAATTAAAATGTGTGAATGAAAATCACCACGGAATCCAGTTATCTATTTTAAATCTCACCTTAACAATGTTATGTTATTGTTCTGAATTTAAAACCCATGGAAACAGTGAAGCATTAACTCAAACACATTAACTTACTTCCATCACATTCTCACTACACAATTACAGTATTAGCATTCAAGGCTTGGATGTACCATGAAAACAAAGATTGTTTTCTTTTCCACTTGTACATTTGTTTATCCATGTAGCAGAACTAAATAAAAAATATTTGAGAATGGTTTCTTGGAAATGAATCGTTTTAAACACAATAAAAGACTGAAGGATAGGGTTCCATACCAAAGTCGCACTTTGCCGTCTTTGTGCCCTGTTGCTATGCAGTCCTCTCGTGGATGACAAGTTACACACTTAAATACATTATTTGCTCCATTACGACTTTTGATACTCAGGGGAAACCTTGAAAAGATCAACAGAAACATTCACTATGTGATTTTCCCCAATTATCAATATGTTGTGTTTGATGGGTTGAATGAAGATGGAATCAGTGAACAGTAAACAATCAGGAATAGTATTATATGGAAAAGTACTAGAAAACTCAATTTAAATAGGACTTTAACCAAAAGTTTACCTGTAATATTTTTTATTTTTGAAGAAATACACACGGAGTTCCAAAGCTTTCACTGAAGCAACATATTCACCCTGTCAACAGAGGTTTGGAAAGTTACCTGTGGCAAATATTTTTACACAATATGTAACAGGATATGCAATTGCTACACATTTCAGCTTAGTTTCTCTATATGTAATTTAGAATCATAAAATGAACAAATAGTTTGGCAACATGGCACTCAAACAAATTAGAGCCAACGACATGGTAACTATGACTTCAGTTTATCTTAAATTCAGAACAATCCTCTTAACACTGCAAATCTAGATCAACGAGGTTAAACCATGTACAATAAAAAGCTCAGTGTTTTCACTAATAAGACAAATTCACCTGTTGGTGTGAAAGTAATGCCATTATTGAACACTTGCCAAAATATATCCTCTCCCCAAAATAGTATTACATGGGAAAATATTAGAGAAGTGAATGCAAATAGGCACTGCATTGAAAATTCCGAGTGGCCATGAGTTACTGTCACTATACACTGTATTTCATGTGAATATCATTGTATAAGTTTCAGACAAGCATTTTTCAATAACATTTATAAATGTGCTAAAATAAAAAGATAAAAAGAATAAAAAGTCTTACCTCTCTGCCGAAAGCTATTGATGTTGGTGACTGATGGACATCTTTGAAAATGACACTCAAGATTTGTGCTTCAACTTCTTGTGCAGACGATTTGGGCAGATCGACCGATACCAATTGGAAATTACCTGGAAGAGAAAAGATTGACGGTAAATCTAAAATGGATTTGAACATTAAAAAGTACCACTTCTCGAAGAGCTCTTCAACAGCAACCTAACATTATTAATAATAAAAAAAACTCTAGTCTCTGTATCTCAGTCTCTATGTCCCCAATGTGATTTGTTTTACCTGAGGATTCATCACTATCTTTTGGAACGATCGCAAAGATGGACGCTCCTTTACTAGCAGAGGTGTACAGTGCAAGCAGCTTCGAACCCACTACGAATGTCTACAGAGAAATAGAATGGTAAGTATAATTATCGCACATATTTAGGAGATTGTAAAGCAATTGCGTAGGCTCCAAATTGCTACTTACCTTCATCAAGATTCCATCTGTGAAGTCCCAGAGTTTAATAGTGCCATCCAATGAGCTGGAATATAGCTGTAAATAAATAATCAAATTCCAAATTAACAATTTTACAAATATCAAACAGAAACAAACATAATCTATGCGACCTTGGTATATAACGCCAAATGGCACAGTATTAATTTAATCATTTGTTTACCTGCAAATTGTTTTTGGGATTGAGATGAATGCCAGTGACAAGATCGTTATGACCATGTAGGACGTGCACACATTCTTCTGTAGCTGTGCTATACACCTTCACTTGGTCCCCTGATGCACATAGCAAATACCTGGAAAAATAAAGTACATTCAATTTGCAGTTACTAGGATAAAAAAGCAAAAACAAAACCACTAAGAAATCAAGGAGATTCAGTTCATCTAGTCTGTACTGTTTCAGTACAGGCTGTAAAAGCAGCAAATATTTCTTACTTTGGATTTTATTGTGAATAAAGAGATTCACTCAGCAAAGACCAGAAATGACTGTACTTAATGTAAACCAATAAAGCTTAAACTTCATTATGATCCACACACCAATTATAACTATACATCATTGCAACATAAAATTGATGTCTTCTCACACCTACTATCAGATCAATTTGGAAAGAATGAACAGTGAAGGGAAAGCAGGATGCATCTATTTCACAGGGATGCTGCAATTTGCCGAGCAGCTCAGACTAAGAATGGTAGGGATGATAGGAGGGAAATGCCCCCTTCTTATCTCTCCTGGGGTTAAGAGTCTCTGACATTTTAGGTCTCTCTGGTGGGAGGACTCAGGTCTAGAGTTATCTGTGACAATTCCATTCTCTCTTGTGGAGGTCTGGGGGAGGTGGGGGTCTCTCTGGTCGGGGAGGGGGGGTGGTATGAGCACTGACAGAACAAGCAAGGGCATTTCAGTCTTGAGAGAAGACGACTCAGAGGGGACCTCATGGAAATGGTCCATTTTTGTACGAGATGGAAAAGGTAAACCCTGATCAATACTTTTATCTCGATAGTAGAACACAATAGGACACAGATTTAAAGTTGTAAACGGCAATTTCAGGGCAGACACCAGGAAGTTTTTTTTCTTTCCGCAGAGAGTGGAACAGGTTGCCAGAAAAAATGGTAGAGGCCAGGAAAACGGACTGATTTACAAAGCAGGGTGATGCAGTGATGGTGGGGATGGTAGGGTGGGTGTTCTGGAGGGATGTGATCGGATGGGCTGAAGGGCTTTTCTTCATCCGATCTTGTACCACGAGTGGGGGGGGGGGGGGGGGGACACATCACTCCATGATTCATTTCAGGGCAGAGCCACCCCCCCACCCACCCACACACCAACTTGGAACATTCGGCAGCAGGAGGGGGAGAGGGAGAAGCTCTCTCATGGGGTGGGGTGGAGAACTCCGGGTGGGGGGAGCTCTCGGGGTGGGGGGGGAGAGGTCTCGGGGTGGGGGGGGAGAGGTCTCGGGGTGGGGGGGAGAGGTCTCGGGGTGGGGGGGGGAGAGGTCTCGGGGTGGGGGGGGGAGAGGTCTCGGGGTGGGGTGGGGGAGGGCTCGGGGTGGGGGAGGGCTCGGGGTGGGGGGGGAGAGGTCGGGGGGGGGGGGGAGGTCTCAGGGGGGGGGGGAGGTCTCGGGGTGGGGGGGGAGAGGGGGGGGGGGGAGAGGTCAGGGTGGGGGGGAGAGGGCTCGGGGTGGGGGGGGAGGGCTCGGGGTGGGGGGGGAGAGGGTGGGGGGGGAGAGGTCAGGGTGGGGGGGAGAGGGCTCGGGGTGGGGGGGGGAGGGCTCGGGGGGGGGGAGGGCTCGGGGTGGGGGAGGGCTCGGGGTGGGGGCAGAGGTCAGGGTGGGGGGGAGAGGGAGAGGTCTCATGGAGGGGGGGGGAGAGGTCTCGGGGTGGGGGGAGGAGAGGGCTCGGGGTGCGGGGGGGGAAGAGGGCTCGGGGTGGGGAGAGGTCAGGGTGGGGGGAGAGGGAGAGGTCTCATGGAGGGGGGGGGGAGAGGTCTCGGGGTGGGGGGGGGAGAGGGCTCGGGGTGGGGGGGGGAGAGGGCTCGGGGTGGGGGGAGAGGTCAGGGTGGGGGAGAGGGGTGGGGGGAGAGGGAGAGGTCTCGGGGTGGGGGGGAGAGGTCTCGGGGTGGGGGGAGAGGGAGATGTCTCGGGGTGGGGGGGGGAGAGGGCTCGGGGTGGGGGGAGAGAGGGCTCGGGGTGGGGTGAGGGGAGAGGGCTCGGGTGGGGTGAGGGGAGAGGGCTCGGGGTGGGGTGAGGGGAGAGGGCTCGGGGTGGAGGGGGGTAGAGGGCTCGGGGTGGGGGGGGGAGAGGTCTCGGGGTGGGGGAGAGGGCTCGGGTGGGGGAGAGGGCTCGGGGTGGGGGGGGGGAGGGTCTCGGGGTGGGGGGGGAGAGGGCTCGGGGTGGGGGGGGAGAGGGCTCGGGGTGGGGGGGGGAGAGGGCTCGGGGTGGGGGGGGAGAGGTCTCGGGGTGGGGGGGGGGAGGGCTCGGGGTGGGGTGAGGGGAGAGGGCTCGGGGTGGGGGGAGAGGGCTCAGGGGGGGAGAGGGCTCCGGGTGGGGGGGAGGGCTCGGGGTGGGGGGGGAGAAGGCTCGGGGTGGGGGGGAGAGGTCTCGGGGTGGGGGGGGAGAGGGCTCGGGGTGGGGTGGGGGGAGAGGGCTCCGGGTGGAGGGAGAGGGCTCGGGGTGGGGGGGGGGGGAGAGGGCTCGGGTGGGGGGGAGAGGGCTCGGGGGGGAGAGGGCTCGGGGTGGGGGGGAGAGGGCTCGGGTGGGGTGGGGAGAGGGCTCGGGGTGGGGGGGGGGAGGGCTCGGGGTGGGGGGAGAGGGCTCGGGTGGGGGGAGAAGGCTCGGGGGGGGGGAGAAGGCTCGGGGTGGGGGGGGAGAGGTCTCGGGGTGGGGGGGAGAGGGCTCGGGGTGGGGGGAGAGGGCTCGGGGTGGGTGGGGGGGAGAGGGCTCGGGGTGGGGGGAGAGGGCTCGGGTGGGGGGAGAGGGCTCGGGTGGGGGAGAGGGGGCGGGAGGGGAGAGGGCTCGGGGTGGGGGGGGAGAGGGCTCGGGGTGGGGTGAGGGGGGAGAGGGCTCGGGGTGGGGTGAGGGGGGGAGGGCTCGGGGTGGGGGGGAGAGGGCTCGGGGTGGGGGGAGGGCTCGGGGTGGGGTGAGGGGGGGAGAGGGCTCGGGTGGGAGAGGTGGGGGGAGAGGGCTCGGGGTGGGGGGGGAGAGGGCTCGGGGTGGGGGGGGAGAGGGCTCGGGGTGGGGTGGGGGGGGAGAGGGCTCGGGGGGTGAGGGGGGGGAGAGGGCTCGGGGTTGGGTGAGGGGGGGGACCTGGGTGTCTGGGGGCCGGATCCTGCCCTCGGCCTCTCTCAGGCCCGGGGGCCGCTGACCACACTCCCGGGCCGAGAGTCCGCACAGTGTCGGGTCTCTCTCTCTCACTGACCTGGAGTCGGTGCTGAAGACGGGCCGCCGAGAGCTGATGCGGCCTCCGCCACTGCGCACCACGCGCACAGCCGCCATCTTACTGTGACCCCTGACCTCGGCACCGCGCCTGCGCACACAGCTCGAGACACAGAGACTGAGACACAGCGACAGAGACTGAGACACTGACCCTGAGACACAGAGACTGAGACACAGCGACAGAGACTGAGACACTGACACTGAGACACAGAGACTGAGAGACTGAGACTGAGAGACTGAGACACAGAGACTGAGAGACTGAGACACAGAGACTGAGACACAGAGACTGAGACTGAGACATAGAGACTGAGAGACTGAGACACAGAGACTGAGAGACTGAGACACAGAGACTGAGACACAGAGACTGAGACACAGAGACTGAGACACTGAGACACAGAGACTGAGACACAGAGACTGAGAGACTGAGACACAGAGACTGAGAGACTGACACAGACTGAGACACAGACTGAGACTGTGACACAGAGACTGAGACACAGACTGACTGAGAGACTGAGACACAGAGACTGAGAGACAGAGACTGAGACAGACACAGAGACTGAGACACTGAGACTGAGACACAGAGACTGAGACCAATTTTATTTATTTTTCTTGAGGGATTATTATCAGGCGCGTGGAGTAAGGAAACTTGCCCAAGGTTTTACTCTGCCGGGAATCGAACCCGGGTCTCTCGCTTGTGAGGCGAGTGCTTTAACCACTGACCTACAGGACTCCATGTAGCGCCTTATCATGTCATCAAAGAGCTTGATGGGATTTTATTGTGAAGTGTAGCGCCTGTGTATTTTGTATGTGAACGCAGCAGCCAATTAGTACACAGCGATGTCCCACAAACAGCTACCAAGTGAATGACTAGTTTTATTTGAGGGTTTGTTGTCCAGGACACCAGGATAAATTCCAACCTTTTCGAATAGTGCCATGGGATCTTTAATGTCCAACTGAGCAAGGCAGTTGGGATCTTGGATTAATGTCTCATCTAGAGGATTGCACCTCTAACAATGCAATATACCTCCAGCGCTGCATTGGTGTGTACTGAGTGTCTAGACTGAGCTTAAGTCCTGATGTGGGGCTTCAACTCACAACCTTCTGAGGAATACAGAGATTCAGAGAGATTGAAATATACAGAGATTCAGTGGTATATAATAATATACTTTGATTTAAAAAATCTCTTAGGGTAATTGTACTGTGGTCATAAATGAAAGGAACACAAGAGGGCAGTAACAGCACAATAAACACTTTTATATTGTAGAATGTACAGTAACTTATTACTTTAAAAAAAAGTTTCATTTGTCATCCCAGTTAACGTATTGAACTGATAAAGTGATTTGGAAATTTATTCTACAGAGTCTTACAAGGGAATGGAAACATTAAATATTTTTGTTTTGTTAAATGTGGGGAGATGTCTTTTCTGATGTGAACAGGCAGAAACACCAAAGCATGTTATCTATTTCATGTCACTCTGTCAACATAAACAAGGTGCCTCATAAGACGTGTTGAAGCAGACCTGAGTTCCATGGTGAAATAGCTGCAAAAATAAGTACTGTACAGCTTATAATAATGACACTTAAACATTGCATCGTTTGATAGATGATTTCCTTATTTGGTTGGGAGGCTTTCTTTTTTTGCAGAGGGATCACCACTGATGCAGAACAGCTGTGGTTGGTATGGATGCCTGTAAACCGATCCTAGTTTGTCAAAGGGAAGATGCAGCAGAATAGTCCCACAACTTTACTCACAACTAGACACCAATTATCGTGGTCGCCCCTACTGCGTACAAACGGGTTGAAGAAGGATATCACAGCAGTGATTTGTTTTGCTTTCAGAGTGATATGATGTTCAGGTCAGAGTTAAGTAAATTATGTCTCATCAACATGTTGAGGATTTTTCATCCATTTCAGAAAATAAATCCATGTGGGATAGATGGACTCTGGTTCGTGAGTTAGACTGCAGGCCACTACTCTTCATCAAAGTCTTTTTAATCCATCCCATATTTATTCTTGTTTGTGGATGTACAGATACATTGTGTGAAAAAAAACAACCAGGCAAGGAAATTCATACATCAATGTGGCTATTGTTAAATCAATTGCCCTTATTCCTCTGTTCAGCAGAAGGTCTAGTTTGTTGTCTCAAGCAGCTGAAACTAGATCAGACTTGAAACGTTTATTGTCTACTTTTTACTATCTACTAGTGTAGGCTGCTGCTCTTGCTGACACTCTGGAGACCACTATAAATAAGGCAGTAACATTTCCTTAAAGCTGCAAAACATAGGGTCAATGTATACATAAAATGTGTATGGTTAGGAAGACATCATGATCATGGAGTCGTGTACCTTATTGGTTAGAGTGCTCGCCTCACGAGCGAGAGGACCTGGGTTTGATTTCCGGCAGGGTGAAACGTTGGCCAAGTTTCCTTACTCCACATACCTCTGTATACCTCGTGTATGTTGAAAAGTAGATATCTTTGTCCGACAGTTAAGCTAGTAGTCTGATGGGTCTGGTGGGATTTGTAAAAGGTTAAAGTCATCTGTTTGGCTTTGCAGTCTGAGGGGTGGAACAGTCCAAATACTGTAATTGTCTCCGTAGTGCACATAAGGCCTTCCAAACTCAGTCCGCGATTGTCTGCTCAGTGTCAGTAACATAGAGAACTCCTACGAGACTGAAGGAAAATGTTGGGAGTTAGTTTTGCAGTAAATGTGTGATCTGCCAAATACTTACGTTTGTGGATTCCTGACTCGTTATTTCCACAGTGTCAAAGTAAATGTCAGCTACGATTGTATTTTTTTTAGAAAAAGTTAATAAAACTTTTCACCCTATTGTTACTGAAGCAATCAATGGGGTCCTGGTCTCTTTAACAACAATTAGTAATTTGTTTAGACTCTTGTGCCCACATCATTCTGAATTGCCTTTCTTCCCCGGGCTGCAGACATTGGTTCTTTGTTGCTCCCTGGATTGTGGTACCCGCGGTACAATTAATGACCTGGAACTTCCGTTGCAGAAATGTTGATTAAATCTTTGGACTACTTGTATCCTAGGTTCAAAACTTCCCCCAGCCACAAACAGTTTGTGTAAAATTCTACTGAACTCCACCAATTATGTTATTGCATGGTTATTTATCCCAACAGCAACTGTACATTTCAACTGCAAGACTGTGAAGAGAGGGGGGAAATTATGTTATCGCCACCTGCAGAAGCAACAACAACAACAAATTAGCACCTTTCAAGTCAGTAGTATGCCCCAAGGCGCTAAAGCCATTGAATGCGGGAGGGAATTCATTTTTTTTTCAATGGCAAAGTACATTCTTACATAATCAAACAAATCAAAGAAACTGTGCTGGCTAAGGGCAAATTATTATTCAGTAACCTGCAGAGTCATTAGTTACACATCCATTAAAGGGCTACTGCCTTGCACGGCTGTACATTAAGCACACTTTGATGATGTTCACATATGAAGAGATGTTCTATTATTCGTACACATCATTGTTGTCTCTCAATGCTGTTGGCCTGGCTCAGTTAGTAGGACTCTTGCTTCTGAGTCAGAAGGTGATGTGCTTAAGCCCCGCATTGGCATATTTGAGCTCACTATCTAGGCTGACACTCCATTGCTAGGGCAATGCTGCATTGTCAGAGTTGCCATACTTTGGATGAGACATTAAACTGAGATCTTGATTGCTTTTCAGATGAATATTAAAAATCCTTTGCACTATTCAAAAAGAGAAGGGAGTTTCTGTTTGTGTCCTGGCCAACAACCTCCCAGATAGAATTAGTCATTCACTCCATGGTTACTTGCGTGGCTTTGGTATGTAAAAATAACTATGTGCACCTCCAACAATGCAGCAATCCCCCACATCACAACCTCATCACCACTTTTGAATTCCTTAACTAGTTAAATAACAGCCAATTTATCCTTCTCATCACTCTGAACAGGCTCCTCCCCACTCCCCCATTACACACTCAGCACAAAGTCCATGACAAACCTAACTGTACATGTTTGTCCTTGAAGCTCTGTTTAGTTTCAGCTTTCAGATCTATCGCCAGAGATACTGTAGGAATGTTTGGTTGTTAAGAAGAGTACAGATGGTGAGAGGGAGTAAAGAGGTCTGTTTCGTTCAGTTGAAGGACTGCTATTTAAAAGGGAAAAGGTGCATTTTTCAAAATACGGCATTTATATACTTCTTAGCTACCTAATAGCAAGCTGATCCTTCTCGGCTGTGCAATTCTAATGTACCCTAAAAGTTCTCTTCTTCACCCACAGAACAATCTTAAAAGATTCAGACGTGCAGTTTAAGCTGAAAAATGTAGGCATGCAGCCAGAACTGAATGCAGTTTTGTCAGGCAGGCATTGACATTTTTTAAAAAAGTGCATACATTTGAAGGCCATTTGAAACAAAGATTCTGTTTAATCTCTTCATGTAAACAAGTTTATTGCTCTGGTTATAAACGAATATAAATAGACTCATAGATATCTGGCAGTTAATGGGTTGATTACAGCTTCATTATATTAAATACACAATGGTCTTTTGTAAGTGGTTTTACTGTACGCAGGATAACTGCAAACCCTGAACGTACTACTAATTTATGGTAACAAATACTAAGGCATGTCTTACTAAATGTTAAACTGCAGTTGGGTGTTAACTGCAGTCATACAAACATATATAAAAATATATTTTAATAAATCTGTTCTTAAGAAGCATGCAATAATTGTTGGTGAAAGTCACTATACAAATGTAATCTTGTTGTTTGTTTTAATTAAGTATTTGCTGCATCAAGGTTATATGGGAAATAGACATACAGTGTCTGAGCTGAACTGTTGAAACAGAATAACTTCCATTTATGCAGCATCGTTCACATTGACTAACATCTTGGAGCGCTTCAAAGAAAGAGGTGACATAGATACGGTTGAAGGTAGGCTTTTAGGTGGCACTTGAAGACAGATTGAAAGAGGAACAAGATGGACAGATTGAGGGAGGAAGTTCCAGAGGATGAGAGCACAGTGCCTGAGGGTGTAGCCCCTGATAGTGGGGTGGATGGGTCATGCAGCAAACCCAAATTTGCCAAGCAGAGAGGGTG